GTCTGTCTGTCTGCCTGCCTGCCTGCCTGCCTGCCTGTCTATCTGTCTGCCTGCCTGCCTGCCGGTCTGGATTGCCTGCCTGCCTGCCTGCCTGCCTGCCTGCCTGCCTGCCTGCCTGTCTGTCTGTCTGTCTGTCTGTCTGTCTGTCTGTCTGTCTGTCTGCCTGCCTGCCCCGCCCCGCCCGGCCGGTCTGTCTGCCCGTCTGCCTGTCTGTCTGTCTTTCTGTCTGCCTGCCTGTCTGTCTGTCTGTCTGCTTGCCTGCCGGTCTGGACTGTCTGCCTGCCTGGCCTGTCTGTCTGTCTGTCTGTCTGCCTTCCTGCCTGCTTGCCTGCCGGTCTGGACTGTCTGCCTGCCTGTTTGCCTTGTCTGCCTGCCTGCCTGCCTGCCTGCCTGCCTGCCTGCCTGCCTGCCTGCCTGCCTGTCTGTCTGTCTGTCTGTCTGTCTGTCTGCCTGCCTGCCTGCCTGCCTGCCTGCCTGCCTGCCTGCCTGCCTGCCTGCCTGCCTGCCTGTCTGTCTGTCTGTCTGTCTGTCTGTCTGTCTGTCTGCCTGCCTGCCTGCCTGCCTGCCTGCCTGCCCCGCCCCGCCCGGCCGGTCTGTCTGCCCGTCTGCCTGTCTGTCTGTCTTTCTGTCTGCCTGCCTGTCTGTCTGTCTGTCTGCTTGCCTGCCGGTCTGGACTGTCTGCCTGCCTGGCCTGTCTGTCTGTCTGTCTGTCTGTCTGTCTGTCTGTCTGTCTGCCTTCCTGCCTGCTTGCCTGCCGGTCTGGACTGTCTGCCTGCCTGTTTGCCTTGTCTGCCTTCCTGCCTGCCTGGCCTGTCTCTCTGCCTGCTTGTCTGTCTGTCTGTCTGTCTGTCTGTCTGTCTGTCTGTCTGTCTGTCTGTCTGTCTGTCTGTCTGCCTGCCTGCCTGCCTGGGCTGGTGTGCCTGGCCGGCCCGTCTGTCTGTCTGCCTGGTCTGCCTGTCTTCCTGTCTGCCTGCCAGCCTGCCTGCCAGCCTGTCTGCCAGTCTGCCTGTCTGCCTGTCTGTCTGTGTGTCTCTCTGTCTCTCTGTCTGTCTGCCTGCCTGCCTGCCTGCCTGCCATCCATGTCTGTCTGTCTGCCTGTCTGGCCTGTCTGCCTGTCTGTCTGTCGTTGAAGGCTGAGCTGGTTCCATGGTGACGTGTTTGACAACAGAATGTTGGAATCCTGACCAGTTCCTGAGCCGAGAGGGTCCTCAGTATCCCAGAGCACTCCCTGCTGATGGCAGCCCGGCCCGGCCCGGCTCATTGGCAGGACTTCAGGGCCGATCAGTCACTGGGGACAGGGAATCCTCCCACTCAGAACCTTTTAACCTGCAGCCAAAGCTCTAACGGGTCGGCTGACGTGGCTGGACCAGCAGCAGGAAACCTGGCCAGACAATGACATCAATGGCCAGTGGTTTAGCTGATTAGACTCCAGCAGTTACCCCAACACACATTTTGGTGTCTCCAAGCCTCGGCTCGTGCTAATCTGCACCTAATACTCTCTGGAATTAGGTAAACAGGGAAAGTGTAAATTCTATTCCAACAATCTGGCTCTGGGATTGCCACATGTCGGTAGGTGGGTTGTGGGGAATTCTCAGCTTGGGTTTGGATACTCTTAATGATGATGGTGATGGGTATTTGCATGTGTCAGATGCATGACTGACCAACAATGAATCCGCTGTGTAAATGATGCTTTCTTTACGTGGGTCATCAACAATAATAATCTTGCACTTCATATCACACCTTATAAAGATGTCTCAAAGCACTTTATAGGATATATTGTAGGATATGGATTGTGCGTTTTATGAACGCAGCAGCCAATTTACACACAGCAATGTCCCATAAACAGCCATGAAGTGAGTGACCATTTGGGGATTGCTGGCCAGGATGCCGGGAGAGAGAAACTCCCTTCTCTTTTCCAATAAGGATGTTTAACTTCCATCTGGAAGATTTAATGTCTCATCAAAGGACAATGACTGTGACAATATGGTGCTCCCCCAGCACTGGGCAGAGCCTCAGTATGGCCATGTACGTAGGACTCAGCGAGAGGCTAAACAGGAAGACAGTGATCTCAGACTCAGAAGCAGCACAATAAACCCACCATTCTGCCAGAAATGTTTTCATGGTTTATTTTAATCAATATGTGTGTGTACAGGCAGTGCAGAGAAAGAGAGGGCGATGGAAAGGTCTACTTTGGCAGCATTACTGGATTGATTGAAATAAATAAACAGAATGTTTGTAATAATACTAAATAAATAACATAATTTACTCTCCAATAAATAGATTCTGTCATTATCGAGGACACTTTGCCTCAAATTGTTTCAGTCAGATCACTGTTTGTCCAAAACCAAAGGAGAAAAGGCAAAGTCTATACAGGGAAATGTTTTTACTTCAAAATCAGAACAAAAAACAGTGTCTCTCAGGCCCAGAGCCTCAACCCCAGCCCAGTCTTGCTTAACATATTTCTACTCATAATAACTCGAATTCATGGTCATCATTCTCATCAGTTTACAATCGCCATCTTATAAATCCAGCATATCATCTCCGGGGCAGCATTTGCTCACCCCTCCCTCGGGTCACTTGTTTTTCTCTGATCCCATTTCCCACCTTTCCCTCCCCATGACCACACTGCCCTCCCCATCCATACTGCCCTCCCCATAGCCACACTGCCCTCCCCATGGCCACACTGCCCTCCCCATAGCCACACTGCCCTCCCCATGGCCTCTCTGCCCTCCCCATGGTCTCTCTGCCCTCCCTGGGGCCACACTGCCCTCCCCATGGTCTCTCTGCCCTCCCCATGGCCACACTGCCCTTCCCATAGCCACACTGCCCTCCCCATGGCCACACTGCCCTCCCCATAGCCACATTGCCCTCCCCATAGCCACACTGCCCTCCCCATGGCCTCTCTGCCCTCCCCATGGTCTCTCTGCCCTCCCTGGGGCCACACTGCCCTCCCCATGGTCTCTCTGCCCTCCCTGGTGCCACACCGCCCTCCCCATGGTCTCTCTGCCCTCCCTGGGGCCACACCGCCCTCCCCATGGTCTCTCTGCCCTCCCTGGGGCCACACTGCCCTCCCCATGGTCTCTCTGCCCTCCCTGGGGCCACACCGCCCTCCCCATGGTCTCTCTGCCTTCCCTGGGGCCACACTGCCCTCCCCATGGTCTCTCTGCCCTCCCTGGGGCCACACCGCCCTCCCCATGGTCTCTCTGCCCTCCCTGGGGCCACACTGCCCTCCCCATGGTCTCTCTGCCCTCCCTGGGGCCACACCGCCCTCCCATGGTCTCTCTGCCTTCCCTGGGGCCACACCGCCCTCCCCATGGTCTCTCTGCCCTCCCTGGGGCCACACTGCCCTCCCCATGGTCTCTCTGCCCTCCCTGGGGCCACACCGCCCTCCCCATGGTCTCTCTGCCTTCCCTGGGGCCACACTGCCCTCCCCATGGTCTCTCTGCCCTCCCTGGGGCCACACTGCCCTCCCCATGGTCTCTCTGCCCTCCCTGGGGCCACACCACCCTCCCCATGGTCTCTCTGCCTTCCCTGGGGCCACACCGCCCTCCCCATGGTCTCTCTGCCCTCCCTGGGGCCACACTGCCCTCCCCATGGTCTCTCTGCCCTCCCTGGGGCCACACTGCCCTGGCTTACACTGAGCAACCACACACACAGCCCTTGTGTGAAAACAGAGACATTTTGCAGATGCTCTTTTCTCAAGGTTCATTCTCTTTTTGAGACATTACCCCCAAAATCCTTGTTATTGAGTATATGGGGCCTTGTAACCTCCAGTGTGTATGGTCTGGGTCACTGGGGCTGGCAATATTGGCTTTATCATCACCCTGCCCAACTCTGCAGTCTGGGTAATTAATAATCTTTGCATTTGATATCATATCTGATGTTCATGGTTTGACAGGATGTGCAGGCAGGGACTGGGCAGTGACTGGGTATTTGGAGGGGAACACACAGACAATTTGCGCATAAGAAAGTCCCGCAAACAGTGATGAAGTTGGCCTGGACCCTGGGAAGAACTGGCTTCTTATTGTCAATACTGGGAGGGGATTTTTAATAGCCACATGGAATCTTGGTTTAACAAAATGCTCCCCCAGCACTGAACTGGAATGTCAGTGTAGACTATGCGAGCTCAAAGACCTGATAACCTTCTGACTCAAAGGTGAGAATGTTACCAACTGAGCCAGCCTGACACCTATCCAGCCAAGACCTTTCCTCTCTGTTCACACAAGCCCTCTGTTGGGACGTGCTCCGAAGTAAAAGGCGCTTTACAAATGTAATTTTGTTGTTGTTGTTAGAGGAACGCGCTGTGAGCAATGATTAGACAAGCTCGGGCTCTTCAGTCTTGAGAGAAGACGACTCAGAGGAGACCTTATAGAATGTAAAAGTCTAAATATAATAATAATAATCCTTGCATTTGATATAGCGCTTTTCACGTCAGGAGGACGTCCCAAAGCGCTTCACAGAACACACTGTAAAGTGAATTGACTGTATATTTGTGGGCGAACGCGGCAGCCAATTGCGCACAGCAATGTCCCACAAACAGTCGTAGATTGAAAATGACCAATTTAATTATTGTTTTTGGTTTTGGAGGGATTATTATTAGGCTCTGTGTGGAGTAAGGAAACTTGCCCGAGGTTTCGCCCTCTGCCTGGAATTGAACTCAGGTCTCTCACTTGCAAAGCGAGTGCTCTAACCACTGAGCTACAGAACTCCAATGGGATTGAAACAGTAACCCATGTAATAATTGATAATTAATTGATAATTTGATAATGAACAAAGACAATAGAGAAAGAGGACATGGGTTTAGAGTTGTAAAGGGCAATTTCAGGACAGACACAGATGTTGTGATGGAGGGACGGTCAGGCAGATGTTCTTTACACCATTATGTAAAGATGGTGAACGAGAGCAGAAATGGGGATGTGCTGACAGACTGAAAACCTGATTTCTGGGCTGTGCGGAGAATTGGTGAGAGTTGGTGCTGCTATATGAGCCTAGGGATTAGAGCCCTTTCAGTGATTTAATCCTCAAAGCTGGAAGTTGAAAGTCCTTCAGTTTACACCTGCCCACCCATCCTTGGCAGTGAGTAACAGTGAGCAGCTGGTGCTCCGCCCCCTCTCCCCTGACTTTCAGGTCAACAGGGAAGTCTCTGCTCCCAGGATAGTTTCCTGTAAATCTTTGAGATGTTTCATTGACATCAGGGCAATACCAATAGTTGTCCACGCTGAAGCATCGAGTCCCTCAGACACAGCCACACTTCTTTGCTGAGATCTTCCTCAGGATTTGATATTGATTGTTAACATCCAGGAAGCCCACAGGACCATCGTAGCCCACAGGCCGGCAGCAGGGAGCCTCCTGCAGTGAGGTGTCTGCAATGTGATTCCATTTCCTCAGGTTACTCACAACCACATCATAATTTTTGACTTTATGCTCACAGGAGCCCGCACAGTAACCAAACTTAATGACCTCCTCGGAAACATAGCCCAACCCCAGATCAGTGATCCTCATGGGCATCTCCTTCAGAGCACATTTTACTTTTCCATTTTTACGTTTTAAGGCAAGTGGTGAATAATTCTGTCTCTTTTGCCTCCTTTCACGTCTGTATCGTGGAATCCTGGTTCTGCCCTGCTCCATGCCTTCCTCCTCGTCCTGAATAGGTCTCATTATGTTGTTATCTGAAAAAGAACCAGGAATGTAATCACTGATCACTGTGATTACACACAGACAATTACCAGTGACTCAGTTAGTTACCATCACCGAGAGGCTGAGAGCCCAGACCTCTCATTGACCACCGTGACCAAGCTCATGGCTTGTGCTCTCGCCACTGGGTCAGAAAGTTGTGGGTTGAAGCCCCAGGTCAGGACTTTGACCTCACATTGTGATTGCAACGTCTCATCCAAATGCCAGTGGGGGTGAGAGCACAGTGGGGGAGAGGAGCAGCAAGAAGTTGAAAAACAACATTTTTCAGAGCAGAAAGATTTGTGTAACTAATTTTAAATAGGATTGAAAAAATAAAACAGATCAATACAATACAAATATCAAAGTATATCTGGAGGACGTCCCAAGGTGTTGATACTACACCAGTGGAACAAGAGGACACGGGTTTTGAAATTGCCTGAAATGGCAATTTCAGGACAGACACTAATATTATTAACTGTATTAACTAGAAATAGGTTATCAGGAAGGGTGGCTGAGGTCATGACTTGTTTAAAAATCAGCTCAATGGGGGTAGGGGTGGGGGGGAATGGGACAGTAGATCAGAAAGGTTGAAGGGCCTTCTTCATCTGAACCAGTGTTGTGATCCTCTCCCCACATCACATCAAAGCAAACCTCATCACCCTTGTATTATTACTCAATACACTAGAATGTGAAGAGAGACTTCAACAAGTGCCCAATGATTTGGCAGATAAGCATTATAATTGTCATCCTGGTCTCACTCCGTCCCTGGCATGTTCTGAGCTTGTGAAATCAGCGTGAACATACCTCAGGCTTCCTAGCTGTTACACTTTCTGCAGGAAACCACTATTGCCACTGATCCCACCACCACCACCGTCACCACCAGCCAGATGTCGCTGAAGTTTGATTCCAACATCATTGGAACAGGAACAAGCGACTCAACCTGTGAACATGGCATTGTTGGGACTAGAGAGGGCCGTGGCCTTCACTGGGCATTGGAGACACGATGGAGATCATTGTCTCATTCTCGGGGAAGAAAGAAGAAACCAAAGAGGTGACGGGCATGCAGTTGCTACGGAAAGAGAAAGCCTGACAGAGTTCTCAGCCTTATGTCTCTTCGCATGCCGACAACAGGCCTCTTTGTCCAACACGAAAACAATATTTTTAACAATTCTTCATAATAGTTACAGCTCAACACCCTATTTCTTACCTTCATTTGCTAACTTTCAGATTAGAATTTCTAACAGTTCCAATTTCTCCAAATTTCTCCTCATAACTAAAGCCCCACATCCCTGGGATCATCCCAGTAAACCTCTTCTGCACACCATCCAAGGCCTTAACATCTTTCCTGAAGTGAGGTGCCCAAAGCTGGATGCAGTGCTCCAGCTGTGGCCTAACCATTGATAACTACAAAGTTAGTATTATTGCTGTACTCTCTGCCCTCGGCATAAAACCCAGAATACTACAAGCTTTTTCACAGCCCCTTCCATGGAGTCCTGTAGCTCAGTGGTTAGAGCACTCGCTTTGCAAGCGACAGACCTGAGTTCAATTCCCGGCAGAGGGCGAAATCTTGGGCAAGTTTCCTTACTACACACAGAGCCTAATAATACTCCCTCCAAAACCAAAAACAATAATAAATTGGTCATTTTCAATCTACGACTGTTTGTGGGACATTGCTGTGCGCAATTGGCTGCCGCGTTCGCCCACAAATATACAGTCAATTCACTTTACAGTGTGTTCTGTGAAGTGCTTTGGGACGTCCTCCCGACGTGAAAAGCGCTATATCAAATGCAAGGATTATTATTATTATTATGTGAGCTGCCATTTTCAAGGCCCTTTTGTACCTGCTCTCCCAACTGCCTTTGCTCCTCTGCTCCTCGTAGGATCCTGCCAAGCAATATAAACTCCCTTCCCTTGTTATTTTCTACTAAAATGAATCACCTCACATTTTTCTTTATCTGCCACTGACCTGGCCATTTAGCTAATCTATCACAGTCCTGCAGTCTCTTGCCAACCTCCGCACTATTCATTAGTCCTCCCAGATTGGGATCATCCACAATCTGTGATACCGCACCCCAACATCTAAGTTGAGATCATAAGTATATTTGGGGAAAAGGCGAGACTCCAGCACAGACCCCTGCGGCATGTCACTAATTACCTTTCACCAAGTGGACATTCTTTTAGCCCCATTTTCTGCTTCCTGTCCTTCAACCATCTTTCATAGAATCATAGAACTATACAGCACAGAAGGAGGCCATTCGGCCCATCGTGTCTGTGTTGGCTCTTTGAAAAGAGCTTCCAAGTCAACCCCACTCCCCCGCTCTCTCCCCAAAGCCCTGATCAACCCCACTCCCCCGCTCTCTCCCCAAAGCCCTGATCAACCCCACTCCCCCGCTCTCTCCCCAAAGCCCTGATCAACCCCACTCCCCCGCTCTCTCCCCAAAGCCCTGATCAACCCCACTCCCCCACTCTCTCCCCATAGCCCTGATCAACCCCATAGCCCTGATCAACCCCACTCCCCCGCTCTCTCCCCATAGCCCTGATCAACCCCACTCCCCCGTTCTCTCCCCATAGCCCTGATCAACCCCACTCCCCCGTTCTCTCCCCATAGCCCTGATCAACCCCACTCCCCCGGTCTCTCCCCAAAGCCCTGATCAACCCCACTCCCCCACACACTCCCCATAGCCCTGATCAACCCCACTCCCCCACTCTCTCCCCATATAGCTCTGCAAACTTGTCCTCCCCAAATAATTATCTACTTCTCTCTTAAAAGCTGTTATTGAATCGGTTCCCACCGGCCTTTCAGGCAACGCATTCCAGATCCCAACAACTCGCTGTGTGAAAACATTTCTCCTCCCCTCCCCTCTGTTTCTATTAACAACTATTTTAAATCAGTGTCCTCGGGTTACCGACCCACCCGCCAGTGGGAATAGTGTCTCCTGGTTCACTCTATCGAATCCCCTCATTATTTTGAAAACTTCCATTAAGTCTCCTCTTAACCTTCTCTGCTCCAAGGGGAATAATCCTGGCTTCTCTCGCATCTCCTGATCACTGAAGTCCCTCATTCCAGGTACCATCCTGGTCAATCTCTTTTGCACCCTCTCCAATACCTTGAAATCCTTCCTCAAGTGTGGGGCCCAGAACTGAATACAGTCTCTCGCTGAGGCCTCACCGGTGCTTTATATAAAGGTTCATCATAACTTCCTGACTTTTGTATTCTATGCCCCTATTTATAAAGCCTACTATCCCGGATGCTTTTCTAACAGCTTTATCTATCTGTCCTGCCACCTTCAAAGATTTATTTATATGAACCCCCAGGTCTCTCTGTTCCTTCACCCACTTTCTATCCCAATCATCACAGTTCCCTCTATTCCATGAACCCTGAGTTTCCCTGCAGTCTCCTTCTTGGCACATTATCAAATGCCTTCTGGAAATCCAAATGCACCACATCCTCAACTCTGCCTTTATCTACACTTTTAGTCAAAGAATTCTATCAAATTGGTCAAACACGATCTGCCCTTCCCTGTGTTGACTGTCCCTGATTAACTCACACCTTATCTAAATCATGGCTAACTTGATCCCTTATTATTGCCTCCAAACTGATGTCAGGCTAACCGGCCTGCAGCTCCCTGGCTTCTTCCTGTCCCATGCTTGAATACTGGCACCAACTCTGAAACCCTCCAACCCTCTGGCCAGTCTCCAAGCACATCTGGAAAATCACTGACTGCCTCCACTATGTCTTCGCTGGGTTCCCTCAACAATCTGAGATGTATCCCATCAGCCCTGTGACTTCTCAATTCTAATTGTTTTAGTGAAGTTTCCTTTTGGATCCTTATCCCCAGTAGCTGTTCCCTATTCCCTTGCTTTAATTCTCCGTGCAAAGAGCTCTCTGCTCAGCCACAACTGAGGCAAAGTTCTCATTAAATAGTTACGCGTGCTCCTCCTTTCCACCATCAATTTACCACTTTCGTCTCTAAATGGTGCAACTGCCCCCCCAACAAGCTATTCTTTTACTTCTAATCAGGATTACAAAAATGTCTACAATTCCCCTTTATATGGAGTCCTGTAGCTCAGTGGTTAGAGCACTCGCTTTGCAAGTGAGAGACCTGAGCTCAATTCCAGGCAGAGGGTGAAACCTCAGGCAAGTTTCCTTACTCCACACAGAGCCTAATAATAATCCCTCCAAAACCAAAAACAATAATAAATTGGTCATTTTCAATCTACGACTGTTTGTGGGACATTGCTGTGCGCAATTGGCTGCCGCGTTCGCCCACAAATATACAGTCAATTCACTTTACAGTGTGTTCTGTGAAGTGCTTTGGGACGTCCTCCCGACGTGAAAAGCGCTATATCAAATGCAAGGATTATTATTATTATTATTATATTGTCCAATTGTCTTTTTTTCAGACTCCCTCTCAGCCTTCCGAATTTCCCTTCCTGCCTCTTCTCCACTTCAGACATATTTCTGTTTGAGCCCCTTCCCTGTGCCAGCCGGTCACTGGGGGGGGTGACTTGTGTAAACACACTGTAATGGAGGGGGATATAGAAAAAAGTAGAGCTAGACCTACAGCACAGGCAGTTAAAGCAAGCCCTTGGGTTGTTGTTATTAATTGTTGAGGTTGTTGTTATTAATTGCTGAGCTGTTTGGTTAGTATGTCAGAGATTTTAGAGGAAATTTGAGTTCAGAGCAGCGAGGATAATGAGGACAGATAGCAGAACTGATTTGACATAGCAGAAGGAGTGGGCAAAAGAGGGGGTCACTGATTATTGAGGTAGGGCAAAGCCATGGAAACATTTGGAGATAAGAGTCTTTCAACTCAGCTCCCATTAACCTTGTAAACTAAAGCCGTAACAGATAGGGTGGTCCTAGCTGAACAAGCAACGGGGAAGCATGCCAGACAGCACTCCCAATGGCAAGCTATGCGGTTCAGCTGGTTAGATTCCAGCAGTACTTCTTGTTTGGTCATCAGGTGTCTGACACATGTGGAAACCATCACTTGCTGAAGAGAATCCAAAACAAACAGTTCATGGAATCATAGAATTCGCACAGAAGGAGGCCATTCGGCCCATCGTGTCTGTCTCTTTGAGCTTCGAAACCAACCCCCGCTCTCCCCCCATAGCCCTGATCAACCCCACTCCCCCGCTCTCCCCCCATAGCCCTGATCAACCCCACTCCCCCGCTCTCTCCCCATAGCCCTGATCAACCCCACTCCCCCGCGCTCTCCCCATAGCCCTGATCAACCCCACTCCCCCGCGCTCTCCCCATAGCCCTGATCAACCCCACTCCCCCGCTCTCCCCCATAGCCCTGATCAACCCCACTCACCCCGCTCTCTCCCCATAGCCCTGATCAACCCCACTCCCCCGCTCTCCCCCCATAGCCCTGATCAACCCCACTCCCCCGCTCTCTCCCCATAGCCCTGATCAACCCCACTCCCCCGCTCTCCCCCCATAGCCCTGATCAACCCCACTCACCCCGCTCTCTCCCCATAGCCCTGATCAACCCCACTCCCCCCGCTCTCTCCCCATAGCCCTGATCAGCCCCACTCCCCCGCTCTCTCCCCATAGCCCTGATCAATCCCATTCCCCCGCTCTCCCCCCATAGCCCTGATCAACCCCACTCCCCCGCTCTCCCCCCATAGCCCTGATCAACCCCACTCCCCCCCACTCCCCCCGCTCTCTCCCCATAGCCCTGATCAGCCCCTCCCCCCGCTCTCTCCCCATAGCCCTGATCAACCCCACTCCCCCGCGCTCTCCCCATAGCCCTGATCAACCCCACTCCCCCACGCTCTCCCCATAGCCCTGATCAACCCCACTCCCCCGCGCTCTCCCCATAGCCCTGATCAACCCCACTCCCCCGCTCTCCCCCCATAGCCCTGATCAGCCCCACTCCTCCACTCTCTCCCCATAGCCCCGATCAACCCCACTCCCCCCACTTGTCCTCCCCGAATAATTATCTACTTCTCTCTTAAAAGTTGTTATTGAATCGGCTTCCACCAGCCTTTCAGGCACCGCATTCCAGATCCCAACAACTCGCTGCGTGAAAACATTTCTCCTCATCTCCCCTGTTTCCGTTAACAACTGTTAAATCGGTGCCCTCGGGTTACCAACCCACCCGCCAGTGGATCCTGAGATCTGTGTATTCCAGGTTCATATGGAACTGTCAAAGATTTCAGTATGTTGGAATGGAATACACGTGCTCTTCCGGGAAAGACACATCCTGCTTACCTAACTCTGGGCAATATTAAGCACAGGTTTGTGAGAGCCAAGTCTTGGGGAACCCAGAGTTTGCATTTAGAGTAATAACCTATACGTCAATGAGTTGACAGCGGGAAATATTTCTCAGTTTGCAGGAACACTAAGCTAGGAGGTTTGTAAATTGTGAAGAGGAAGGCGAAACATACAAAGAGACATCGACAAACGAGTGAATGGGCAGAATGATGGCAGATGAAATTTAATATTGCACAGTGTGAGGTAGTGCACTTTGGATGCATGGGTTGGGAGTATGTTCTAAATTGGGAAGCATAAAGGAGGGACATGTGCAGAGATTTAGGGGTTCAAGATCAAACATCACTAAAATCTAACTCACTGGAGCGCTCTCCAGTTATGAAGAGCGATTATATAGCGACCTCATTTGGAGATCTGTGAACAATTTTGGGCCCTCAGCCTTAGGAAGGGCACACTAACCTCGGAGGGTGTCCATTGACAATTTACAAGATTAAAATGATAAAATAAATTCACAAATAACTATAATCCTTGTATTTGATATGGCACATGATCATGTGTTTCAGACAGTCAGAACTTGTCTCCTCACGCACAGAGGGGTGAAGCTGTGGAGGCAGAATCAACAAATACAGATTTGGAGAGTAGAGGTATTAAGGGGTCTGGCGGAAGGGTATTGGACTGAAATGATTTACCCAGATCCTAATAAACTAGTCAAACAGACTCGGTGGGCTGTTCCTGCTTTCCTGATCTACATTTCCCATCAACTTCTAGGAATCTGCTCCCAACAAAGACATAGCTGTAACTATATTCCCGTTACTGCAGCCACATCCTCCGTTACTGCAGCCACATCCCCCGTCACTGCAGCCACATCCATCTCTGCCGTTGTCATGGAGAGTTGGAACTTTATCACTTGCTCTACGGCACAACCTCACCCCTCACGCGGCTGAAACTCTGGTCCACGCCTTTATCACCTCAAGGCTGGACTATGGGAACTCTCTCCTCGTCGGCCTTCCCGGCCCTCCCTCCACACTGCAGGTCATTCAGAACTCTGCAGCTCGTGTACTGTCCCACACCAGACACCGCGACCACATCACTCCCACCCTCACCCTCGCCCTCACCCTCACTCCCACCCTCGCCCTTGCTCGCCTCCACTGGCTCCCCATCCCCCAGAGGATCGATTTCAAGATCCTCATCCTCACCGACAAGGCCATTCACGGCCTCGCTCCCTCCTACCTCTGACCTACTATCCCCCTACTTACCTGCCCGTACCCTCCGTTCCTCTGGCTCCGGTCTGCTCAACATCTCCCGCCACAACTGCCCTACCATTGGTGGCCGGGCCTTCAGCCTCTCAGTCCCGAGGCTCTGGAACTCCATCCCCCAGTGCCTTCGCCGCTTTCCTCCCTCCCTTTCCTCCTTCAAGGCCGGTCTCAAGATCTTTCTCTTTGACCGTGCCTTCAGCTCCCCTCTCGACTCTCTACCCCCTCCTCGCTCCCTCCCTTCCCTCCCCTCACCCTGACCATTTCCCCCCCAATGCTCGGGTCCTGACCCAACTGTACAGCGCCTTGGGACGTCCTCCCGACGTGAAAGGCGCTCTATAAATGGAATCTTGTTGTTGTTGAAAGTGTACATGAAGCGCATCTCCTGTGTCTGACATCTCCTCTGTTATCTGTGGTGGAATTATATACATTTAGACAAGCACTACCTTTAGAATCTGTGTGGACTGGCCAGTGCTTTGTGTTTCTCTGAGCGCTCAGGAATCTCAGTCCCTATTCGTGGCTCTGAGTTTGCAAGCACTGAGTCAGACTGACTGCTGACATTCCTCCCCTCTGACACTCTCTGGCTTTGAAGAGGGTGGCACAGCTCCCACACTCCACAAACGTAAAATTATCTTTCAACAGAATTTGGAAAATCGTCAGTTTTTAAAAAAAATTCAGAATGAATGAGCTACGAGACCAACACACAATAGCAATCACACAAACACATCCCACAGTGCCACAGCTCAACAATGCTCCTAAAATCATCAGTAGTCAGTATCTGATTATCATAAGATTATATAGCACAGAAGGAGGTCATTCGGCCCATCGTCTTTGTGCTGAGGGATGTGTTTTCTCCTTCATTCACTCATGCCTTCCCTCTCTCCCTCACATGATCACTCACTCACTCACTCACTCATTTCCTCATGCACACTCACTGACCTATTCACTTCTTCACTTCCGCAATCCCTCACTGACACACACACTCACTCGAATACACACTCGCTCACTCACATACATGGTCCTGCACACATGGTTGTTAGCTCACATCCACATGCACACGCACACACACTCGCACATACACACTCCCTCTCACACACTCCCTCACACACACCCTCTCGCACACACTTACTCAATCGCTTACTGACACATTCATTCACTTGATTGCTCATTCACACACTCTCTTGGTCCCTCCCTCATTCATGCGGTCACTCACTCACTGACACACTCATTTACTCGCTGGCTCACTCACTCACACTCGTTCACACAGTGGCTTTCTCACTAATTCACTCACTTGCTCACCTAAACATTCACACATTGACTTCCTCACTCACTCAAAGAGTTCTTCACTTAAAGTGACAATGTAGCAATATATCCTGTGAAGCACTTTGAGGCTTCTCAACGTTATGATAAGACACTATTGTGGAGTCCTGTACCTCAGTGGTTAGAGCACTCGCCTTGTAAGCGAGAGTCCTGGGTTCTATTCCGGGCAGGGCGAAATGTTGGGCAAGTTTCCTTACTCCACATGCCTCTGTTTACCTAGCAGTAAGTAGGACCCCGGTTGTTAGTCGATTGGCAGATCGCTTTTCCGGGGATAATAATCCTTCAAAAAAAAACAATAATAATTTGGTCATTCAATCCACAACTGTCTGTGGGACGGACGCTGCTGTGCACAATTGGCTGCCGCGTTTTGCCCACAAACGTACAATCAATTCACTTTGCAGTCTATTCTGTGAAGCGCTTTGAGACATCTAGAAGACGTGAAAAGCACTATATCAAATGCAAGGATTATTATTATTATGTTGATGATGATGATTGTTATGATTATGATTCACTCAGGAGTGAAATCAGTGCAAACCCACAGTCACTGTGGTTACAGAACAAATGTCTGTCAGTGACTGAACCAGTAACTTGGTCTGTGTCAATCACAATGAAATCTCCAATAGATTTAAGCTCCGTTACAAATGTCATTACAACATCAATGACTTGCAGTTACACAGCCCCACCACACGGGGCACAGTCTCAGATAACTGAATAACAGCAGTTTGACACCGAGCAGAGAAGGTGACCATTGGCACAGTTGAAGAGAAAGGTCTTCAGGTGTGATCTGAACACGGGCAAGGAGGGGATGAGGCAGAGGGATTGAGGCAGGGTTTCCAGAGGTTCAGGGCATTGTGACTGATAGCTCGGCCGCCGATGGTGAAGGGGACGAGGAACAAGCAAAAGGGTGAAACCAGCCGAGCCAAGGAGGCGGGTGGAGGAGTGGGGAGTAACCAGGTCGGAGAGGTAGGGAGGTGCCAGGGTGGGCAGTGATTTGTAGGTGAGCGTGAGGATCTGAAATCACTCCGGTCTGCAGTGGAGCCTGGCGAGGACGGGGTGGAGGCAGGAAATAACAAAAGTGTGAATGAGGGTTTCAGCAATAAGGGAGGGGGGGGAGGTGGGGTAAGGCCCTGATGTAACTTTCGCCACAGATGACGGAATGTCAGTCGTCCCTTACATTGCACTGCGTAAGCTTGGGGGATGGGTGGCAGCTCTGGGTCCTCAGGCTGATGTTCTGATGAAGATGAGGATGAAGATGAAGTCATTCCTCTCTCTTTAATGGTCTCGCATTTGTAAACAGCTGAAAATATAGCGCTGAGCATTGAGACCAGCACCACTCTCTTCCATATCTTCATCATAGAGAATGTCATGGCGACAAAGGCCTGTAAAGACAACAAGAGTCAGGGTTAGCTCACTCAGCACATCCAACCTTCTCTCTCTCCTCTCACTTTGCCATTGACAGGGAGACAAGGACAGGCTACATCATGGACTGTTTTCTCATTGAGCTCCTGACTCATTCCTGTTACTCCAGAGTTTCTCTCTGTGTCTCAGGACATCTGCTTAAATGAGCCAGACTTTAAATTAACTCAATCTGGTAGGGAATTCTTTAAGAATCTGAAAAAAATCTTAAAGAAGTCTGTTGAGAATTCTTTAAAAATCCTGAAATAAACATAACTAAACAAAGCCCAGGAAACTGTTGGGAAGATTTAAATTGTTTCCATCCGACAGACTGAAAAACAACAGGTCCCCAGGCCAACACCTTCACAGTAAAAGGCAACACTAAATCATATAAGAAGCAGATTGTCCAGTGACTCGAGCTTCAGAGTAATCCGCTTCAAAGTAGAAGTAGCACAAGGGAAGGGGGGGTTACACTTCAGAGGCAGAGAGGGGCTTGGGGCGAGAGTGGGGGGTGGGGCAGTTGCGGGGGCCGCTCAGAGACAACAGTGGAGGATAGCCAGGCTGGAGCAGAGGGAGGGGTGGGAGGGTCCAGCAGGAGAGAAGAGGGAAGGGCAGGAGGAAGCAAGAAGTGAAGGTGGGTAGTAGAAGAGGAACATTTGGGGAGAGGGTGACTCAGGTCAGGGCGGCAGCCAATACGCACACACAGAGACTAGTTGTAAAGGGCTCAGCGGAGTACAGACAGCCCACAGGCATGGAGGAGGCTAGAGGGAGGGGACAGTGCAGGGGACAGAGGGAGGAGAGTAATCAAGGCGTTATTTATTGGGTTATTACCAGAGCTCAACCTAGTAAATAATTTAGAGAGAGTTTGAGAGAGAGAGAGAGAGAGAGAGTGTGTGTGAGAGAGAGAGCGAAAGGAGTGAGCGAGAGAGGACAGGAAGGGAAGGGAGGTGAGAGAGATTTCGGAAAAAAGATAATAATAATCCTTACATTTGATATAGTGCCTTATCACATTTTCGAGACGTCTCAAACCACTTCACAGGATATACTGTAAAGTGAATTGACTGTGTATTTTGTGGGCACAACGCAGCAGCCAATTGCATACAAACAGTTGTGGATTGAGTGACCAAATTATCATTATTATTTTAAAGGAGAAAATACCAGTCAGCGGATATCAGAGAGGTGCAATTAAACACAAGAACGCAAAGTGTAATTTAATTGACATTTAATAGTATTTTAATTGGAGAAACTATTCCCACTGGCGGGTGGGTCGGTAACCCGAGGACACCGATTTAAAATAGTTGTTAAAAGAAACAGAGAGGAGGGGAGGAGAAATGTTTTCACACAACGAGTTGTTGGGATCTGGAATGCGTTGCCTGAAAGGCCGGTGGGAACCGATTCGATAACAGCTTTTAAGAGAGAAGTAGATAATTATTTGGGGAGGACAAGTTTGAGGGCTATGGGGAGAGAGTGGGGGAGTGGGGTTGATTTGGAAGCTCTTTTCAAAGAGCCGACACAGACACGATGGGCCGAATGGCCTCCTTCTGTGCTGTATAATTCTATGATTCTATGGTCCAGCGCCTTGGGACGTCCTCCTGACGTGAATGGCGCTCTATAAATGAAATCTTGTTGTTGTTCTATACTGATTCGTGAAGCATTAGTAAAGAAATGAGCGATACTGCAAACAACAATTATAAACTTATGTTTGGACAAAACTTAAAAAACAAATACTTGAACATGGTTAAAAATTATACAAAATATAAATATAAATAGAATAAAAACTGTACTTAGCCTCTGGTGGTTTTGAAACATGGCACAGCGGAAACACGATTTTAGTGTGAGATTGAGAGAGAGTGAGAGAGTTGGTAAATCAGCTCCTGACGGAAACCATGCAAGTGTTGACTATTCAATCGCAAATTGGATCTTTTTTTAGATGATTATATTTTGGAATACAGTATTTGAGAAATTTGAGAAATTACAAGTGTGGTATGCTTGCAAGAACTAGACAACTTTCGATCTAAGTTTCCCAAAGCTTTCCACAATGAATTCTGTGTGGATCAGTCCATCTATTATTCGAACTGACAACTCTCAGGATGGTTGAGGGTGATCTGGACCGAACTTTTTTTTATCGTCCAGCAATTCCTAAACTACCCTTGATGGTCATTTTAACAGTAAAATCAAACACACACTAGTAAATACACACACACAATCACACACACACACAATCACACACACACACAATCACACACACACACAATCACACACACACACAATCACACACACACACAATCACACACACACACAATCACATACACAATCACATACACACGCAATCACATACACGCACAATCACACACACGCACAATCACACACACGCACAATCACACATACACACAATCACACACACACACACACACACACACACAATCACACACACACACACAATCACACACACACAATCACAATCACACACAATCACACACACACAATCACACACACGCACAATCACAATCACACACAATCACAATCACACACAATCACAATCATACACACACACATATACAATCACACACACATACACAATCACACACACACACAATCACAAACACAAACAATCACACACAATCACAATCACACACACACAATCACATACACAATCACATACACACGCAATCACATACACGCACAATCACACACACGCAATCACAATCACACACAATCACAAACATACACAATCACACACACACACACAATCACACACACACAATCACACACACATACACAATCACACACACATGCGCATACACAATCACACACATGCGCATACACACACAATCACATACACACACAATCACACACACACACATACACAATCACACATACACACATGCACATACACAATCACACACACACATATAATCACACACACATACACAATCACACACACACACATACACAATCACACACACACATACACAATCACACACACACATATACACAACAACAAGATTACATTTGTATAGCGCCTTTCATGTCAGGAGGACGTCCCAGTGACAGCATTTCAGACCGGAGCTGGGGTCGTGGGGGAGAAGGGAGGGGAGGGGCCGATGGCATGATCAAAGAGGAGGGTTTTGAGGCGGGACTTGAAGGAGGCAAAGGAGGGGAGTGACTGGGGATGGAATTCCAGAGGTTGGGGACAGAGTGGCTGAAGGCACTCCCACCAATGGTGGGGCGGGTGGGGCGGGGGATGTGGAGCAGCCAGAGTTGGTGGGTTGGTAGGGGTTAGGAGGTCACAGAGGTAGGGTGGGGTGAGGCCATGGAGGGCTTTGTATGTGAGGACCAGGATCTTGAACTGGATCGTCTTGAAGGATAGGGAGCCAATGGAGTCGGGCGGGAGTGGGGGAGACGGGGTCATAGAGTTTGGTGCTGGAGAGGACATGGGCTGCAGAGTTAGTTCTGGATTACCTGCAGTCTGTGGAGGGAGGAGTTGGGAAGGCCGACACGCAGGGAGTTTGCATAGTCGAGTCTGGAGGTGATGAAGGCGTGAACAAGAGTTTCAGTGGCCTGAGGGTGAGGTAGTGGTGGAGTCGGGCGATGATCCGGAGGTGAGGGAAGGCAGAGCGGGTCATGGCTTGGATGTGAGGAAGAAAAGACAGTTGAGGGTCGAACAAGACACCTCGGTTCCTGACTGACTGGTGAGTTGGTGAGTTGTAGTGTACACCATGGAGGGTGATGCTGCCAGAGCCTGAGGTCGGAGGCGCTGGTGTGAGCCAATCAGGAGGGCCTCAGTCTTGTTCACATTCAACTGTAGGAAATTTGCCCTCATCCCGGACTTGATGTCCGACAGACAGTCTGTCAGCACAGCAGGGGGTCTGGAGTTGAGGGTGGGGCAGAAAGATAGAGTTGGGTGTCATGTCTGCAGATGATGTCACCAAGGGGGAGCATGTAGATATTAAAGAGGAGAGGGCCAAGGACAGAGCGCTGGGGAATGCCAGACGTGACAGTGCGGGAGCTGGAGGAGAAACCATTAGAGCCAACAAAGTGAAGACGGTGAGAGATAGGAATCAAACCAGGCAAGGGCAGGTCCGTGAAGATTGAGTAAAGCGGAGAGGCAGTGTATGAGGATGCAACTGTGTATGATTGGCCCTCTCCTCTTTAATATCTATATGCTCCCCCTCGGTGACATCATCCGCAGACATAGGGTCAACTTCCACATGTATGCGGATGACACCCAACTCTATCTTTCTGCCTCTACCCTCAACTCCAGGTCCCACTGCTGTCCTGACAGACTGTCTGTCTGCCCCCACCCTCAACTCCAGGTCCCACTGCTGTCCTGACAGACTGTCTGTCTGCCCCCACCCTCAACTCCAGGGCCACTGCTGTCCTGACAGACTGTCTGTCGGACATCAAGTCCTGGATGAGGGCAAATTTCCTACAGTTGAATGTGAACAAGACTGAGGCCCTCCTGATTGGCTCACACCAGCGCCTCCGCACCTCAGGCTCTGGCAGCATCACCCTCCATGGTGTACACTACAACTCACCAACTCACCAGTCAGTCAGGAACCGAGGTGTCTTGTTCGACCCTCAACTGTCTTTTCTTCCCCACATCCAAGCCATGACCCCCTCTGCCTTCCCTCACCTCTGGATCATCGCCCGACTCCACCACTACCTCACCCTCAGGCCACTGAAACTCTTGTTCACGCCTTCATCACCTCCAGGCTCGACACAATCACACACACACAATCACACACTAGTACACATGCACACAATCACACACAGTTGCATACACACTCGCGCACATACACACATAGTCATAATGTAGTCTCCTGGGAAGAGGGGGGAGTAAGCAGGGTTTCCCGAGGGGAGAGCAGGGGAGAGGAGGGCATGGAGGGCAGGGGAGGGAAGGGAAGGGCAGGGCATGGAGGGCAGGGAGAATAGGGGAATCGGGCTCTCCCCAAGGCGACATACTTGCAAACGAAATGTCAGAATTGAGTGAAGCCTCTGTGGCGATCCTGTGTCAGGCCGGTCAGCAATACAGACAGCCATGGCCTGACAGCTGGCTGGGGAGAAGGGCAGAGAGACGTGTCACTAATATACACCCGGTGTAACTGTGAGCACCTCCCCTCCCCCCACCCCGCCCCAGGAGACAGGGTCAGCACATTGCCCCTCCAGGGAATGAGCAGCTTTTCTGTACCGAAACCAATTGTGACTGTGAGAAGGTTTGCTGTGGTCTGGGCTCTCGCTCTCTGTTTTCACACACACCGAGTGCACCTGCCAATAGTCAATCAGCTCTCAGATGTATGCGTGGCTGTGGCTCCCACACAGGGTGGCATCACCAAGTGACCAGCGGTAATCAAACAGTCAGTAGCGCTGGCATTGGGCAGGTTAACCTTACACCATTGCCGGCTAAAATCTTAATCCAAACCAAAGTGTAATGACTGCTAACAGTTTAAACCTTTCACTGTGAGCAGTGGTCACTCTCCACACGGTGTCCACAGACTGGCTTCCTTGCGCAGCGCAGTCAGCAACACAGTCCTGGCTGATAATAATAATCATCTTACAATAGATAGATCGGTGGCCTTTCACATCAGGAGGATGTCTCAAAGCATCTCACAGGATTTACCATAAAGTGATTGTTTATCAGTGAATGTGGCAGCCAATACACAGCAAGATCCCTCAGTGATCTGGTCAGGGTCAGAGCATCTGCAATACTGCACATCTGTTCCTGTTTCACTCCCAGCAGCTCCCTCCACCCCACATCCATCCTCTGAAGCTGTGCTGTGCTCTGATATGCTAACCTGAATGAAGAGTCCTGTATAAACTGCAAGTTGTTGTAAAAGTAACTGTAAATTCAGGCTGTGCTGGCATTAATTCTCCACTTTACATTAATTGGTCGTTCAACAACTCGTGCCCTTCACAGCGCCTCAGAACTCCTGTTGTAGTGGGGCAAGTCATGCGACAATCATTTTCCCTGAAACGCCATCAGTCACTCTATGCAATAAATATTTGCCTTCAACAGTGAGGCACCAGTGGCCCCGTGCTGCCCTCACTCAGGTGTGAAGGTTTCACTTTAAGATGTTGAAGAAGTCCTTTAAAACTTACCCCAAAACCCAATGACTTATTAACTTCAATAATAATAAAAAATAATCCTTACATTTGAGATGGCGTCTTTTACGTCAGGAGGACGTCTCAAAGAGCTTTGTCTCAAAAGGGTGACTGTGAAGTGCAGTAACTGTGGGCAAATGTGGCACAGGGTTAAAAGTTGAAAAGAACAGAGAGGATAAAGAGCTGCTGAAGTTACAGTGTTTAGCACTGAGGGGCAGAAATCAACCCCAACCCGGGCACAGTGTAATAGGGTTAATCGAAACGTGGTTTCAGGGTGAGCAGGACTGAGCACTAATCACTCCTGAATACGGCACTCTCGTAGGCGACAGAGGGATGGCAGAGGCGTGGCATTATTAATAATTATTCTTAATTATTACTACTCCAATGCCCTACATGCCGGTCTTCCCCAGGTTCACTATCCACAAAATCCAGTTAATGTCCTGTAGCTCAGTGGTTAGAGCACTCACCTCGCAAGTGAGAGAGCTGGGTTCAATTCCCGGCAGGGCAAAACCTTGGGCAAGTTTCCTTACTCCACATGCCTGATAATAATCCCTCAAGAAAAAAAGCAATAATAATTTGGTTACTTCAACCCACGACTGTTTGTGAGACGCTGCTGCGCACAATTGGCTGTCGAGTTTCACCCACAAATATACAGTCAATACACTTTACAGTATATTCTGTGAAGCGCTTTGAGACGTCTTGAAGACATGAAAAGCGTCATATCAAATGCAAGGATTATTATTATTAATAGAAAACTTCGCCGCACACATACTCACCCGCAATAAACTCCGTCCCCACCCCGTCGCACCAGTCCTTCCCAAGCTCCACCGGCTCCCTATCACCGAACAGATCGATTTCAAGATCCTCAAATTAGTCATCAAATCCCTTTGTGCCCTGACATCTCCCAACCTCTACAACCTGCTTACTCCCCAATCCAATACCCGCTGACTCCGCTCGGCTAGCTCCAGCCTTCTGCTTGTCCCTCGTGCCCTCCATTCCACCATCGATGGCCGCGCTTTCAGCCACTACGCCCCAAAACTCTGGAACACTCTTCCTCTATCCCTGCACCTTGCCGCCCCTTCCCCATTTTCAGGTCACGCCTGAAGACCTTCCTCTTCGACTGTGCCTATGGTTACCTCATGCTTCGCCACTGTTAAGCACTCTGGGATGCTACCCTGCATGAGGAACATTATATAAATGCAAGTTGTTATTGTTGTTCCTGTTACAGTATTAGAGCGCAAAGGTATTACTGACAGTAAGGTTCTTCGTGTGTTGGAACTATTAAGGAGTAAATGGGAAGCTGTCACTAGTTAGTATTGCACTATAGACAGCCAGCCCAGTGATGAGAAGGAGATAGAAGAGGAGAATTGTAGGCTTATTAGACCGGTGATAATTAACTACCCTGAGACTGACTGGGATAGGAAGGGAAGGACATTTATTGAAGGCAAAAGGCAAACTGTGTCTGACAAACTTAAGTTCTTAACCCAATTAATTAAGTTGTTTGATCATATAACGGAGAGGACTGATGAAGTAGTGCAGCTGATGTAGTGTGTATGAACTTTCAGAAAGCGTTCGGTAAACTGCCACATAATAGACTAGTCAGCAAAATTGAAGTCCATGGGATAAAAGGGACAGTGGCAGCGTGTATACCAAATTGGCTGGAAGACAGAAAGCAGAGGGTAGTAGTGAATGGCTGTTTTTCAGACTGGAGGGAAGTGTACGGTGGCGTCCCCCAGAGGTTGGTATTTCATCTACTGCTCTTTTTGATATATGTGAATGGCTCAGAGAAAGAGAGCAAGATTTTAAAGTTTACAGTTCATAGAATCATAGAACCTTACAGCACAGAAAGAGGCCATTCGGCCCATCGTGTCTGCACCGGCTCCTAAAAGAGCTTCCAACTCAATCCCACCGGCCGCTTTCTCTCCATAGCCCTGCAATCCTGTCCTCCCCAAATACCCGTCTACTTCTCTCTCAAAAGTTGATATTGAATCGGCTTCCACCAGCCTTTCAGGTAAAGCAATCCAGATCCCAACACCTCGCTGGTCAAAACATTTTTCCTAACCTCCCCTCTGTTTCTTTTAACAACGATCTTAAATCGGTGTCCTCGGAATACTGACCCACATGCCAGTGGGAACAGTTTTTCCCGGTTCAACCTATCAAATCCTCTCATGATCTTGAAAACCTCTATTGAATCCCCTCTTAATCTTCTCTGCTCGAGGGAGAATAATCTCTCCTCATAACTAAGGTCCTTCATTCCTGGTACCATCGGGTAAACCTCCTCTGCACCCTCTCCAATCCCCTAACATCTTTCCCAAAGTGCGGTGCCCACAACTGAACGCAGTCTCCAACTGAGGCCAAACAGCATTTTATAAATATTCAACATAACCTCCTGACATTTGTATTCTATGCCCTATTATAAAACCTAGTATCCCGTATGCTATTTTAACAGCTTTATCTACTTGTCCTGCCGACCTTCAGAGATTTGCTAATGTGGACCCCCAGGTCTCTCTGTTCATTTGCCCCCTTCAGGATTGTACCATCAGCTTATATCGCCTCTCCTCATTCTTCCTACCAAAATGCAACACTTTGCATTTCTCCACATTAAACCTCATCTGCCACGTGTCTGCCCAATCTGTCTAAGTCCTCTTGGAGGCTGGTGCTGTCCTCCTCACCATTAATTACTTTTCCTGGCTTAGTATCGCCTGCAAATTTGGAAATTGTGCTCCCTATATCCAGATCCAGATCACTGACATAGATAGGGCCAGGGTGAAGGACGTCTCGGCGGGGCTGGAGGAGAATCTAAAACAGGAGGGCGAGGATCCATTGGTGGTACTTCACATCGGTACCAATGACATGGGAAGGGTTAGTTGTGATGATTTGAGGAGGGAGTTCAAGGAGTTGGGAACTAAATTAAAACAAAGAACATCAAAGGTAGTGATATCAGGATTGCTGCCTTTGACATGTGCAAATTGGTACAGGAATAAGCAAATTACAGAGTTGAATGCATGACTGAGGGAGTGGTGTGGAACGCAGGGGTTTCATTTTATGGGCCATTGGCACCAGTATTGGGGGAAAAGGGGTCTATTTCAAAAAGATGGGGTCCACTTAAATTGAGCTGGGACAAATGTCCTTGCAAACCGAATACAAAGGGAGGTAAATAAAGCTTTAAACTAGTAAAGTGGGGGGAATACAATTAGAAATAATCGCAGTATTAAGAAAACTAAAGGTGGCAGAACAGAATAGCAAGAGAGATAAACACATTAGGTCAACGAGAGGTAAGAAGCTCAGTAAAGAAAATAGGGCATCAGAGAGTAGGGGAAATGGTAAGAAATTAAAATCTCTATATCGGAATGCACGAAGCATTCGGAATAAGATAGATGAATTAAAGGCACAGATAGAAACAAACAGGTGTGATCTAGTAGCCATTACTGAGACATGGTTACAGGGAGATCGAGCGGTGGAGTTAAATATTCCGGGGTTTGCAGCTTATAGGAAGGGTAGACAATGTGGAAAACGAGGTGGGGGGGGGGGGGGGGTAGCCATGTTAATAAAGGACGGAATAAAAACAATAGAAAAGGATTTCAAATCAGATAACCAGGATGTAGAGACAATATGGGTAGAATTACGAAATAACAAGGAGCAGAAAACAGTAGTGGAAGTAGTTTATAGACCCCCAAACAGTGATCACAGCATAGTGCAGGGTATTAATCAAGACATTAGAGGAGCGTGTAGCATACAGTAATCGTGGGTGATTTCAATCTTCACATAGAATGGGAAAACCAAATCAGCAAAAGTAGGGTAGAGGAGGAGTTTATAGAATGTATGAGAGAGAGCTTTCAGGAGCAGCAGCTGAGGAACCAACTCAGGGACAGGCCATCCTTGGTCGTATTTTGTGTAACAAAACAGGGCGAGTCGGTAATATAGATATTAAGGCTCCTCGAGGGCAGAGTGATCATAACACAATAGAATTTAGTATTAAGTTAGAGAGTGATGTTGTCAATCTGAAGCAAGGGTCTTAAATTTAAATAAAGCTAACTTTGCAGGAATGAGGGAAGAATTAGCTAAAATAGACTGGGGCATTAGATTTATGGATATGACAATAGACCAACAATGGCAAATGTTTAAAGATGTAGTGCAAAATTCCCAGCGGTCACATATTCCCTTGAGGAATAAGAGCACCACAGGGAAAGCAGTTCATCCGTGGCTAACTAGAGCAGTTAGAGAAAGTATAAAACTAAAAGAAAAGACCTATAAAACTGCCAAAAAGAGTAGTAAACCTGGGAATTGGGAGTGTTTTAGGGACCAAGAAAGAAAAACCAAAAAGCTCATTAAGAGAGAGAAAATGGATTATGAGGGCAAGCTAGCTAGGAACAGTAAGACAGATCGTAAGGGTTTTTATAAATAGATTAAGAGGAATAGGCTAGCAAAAGTAAATGTGGGTCCATTACAGGCGGAGACAGGAGGAATCATAATGGGGGATAAGGAAATGGCAGAGTCCCTAAATGGACTTGATGGTTTGCATCCTAGGGTTTTAAAAGGGGTATCTCATGAGATAGTGGAGGCCTTGTGTCTGATCTTCCAAAATTCTCGCAAACGTCACACCATATTTAAGATGGGTGGAAGAGAGAAGATGGGGAACTATTGACCAGTCAGTCTGACATCAGTGATAGGGAAAATTCTAGAATCCTTAATTAAGGATGTCGTAGTGGGATCCTTAGAGGATCACAATATGATTAGACAGAGTCAACGTGGCTTCACAAAAGGGAAGTCATGCTTAACAAATCTTTTAGATTTCTTTGAAGACATATCAAGTAGATTAGATAGGGAGGAATGTAGTGTATTTAGATTTCCAAAAGGCATTCGATAAGGTGCCGCATAAAAGGTTGATCCACAAGATTAGGGCCCATGGAATTAAGGGGAATATATCAGCATGGATTGAAGAATGGCTAACGGGAAGAAAACAAAGAGTAGGGATAAACGGGTCCTTCTCAGATTGGCGGGATGTGACTAGTGGAGTGCCACAGGATCAGCGCTTGGGCCTCAACTATTTACAATCTACATCAACGATCTAGCCGAGGACATGGAACTTAATATATCCAAATTCGCAGATGACACTGAACTAGGAGGGAGAGTAAACACCGAGGATGACATTCAAAAAATGCATCAAGATATAGATAGGCAGGTGAGTGGGCAGATGAAGTATAATGTAGGGAAGTGTGAGGTCATCCACCTAGGTGGCAAAAACAGTAGAGCAGATTATGTTTTAGAAGGGGAGAGACGAGATAGTGTTACAAGGACTGAGTCACAAAAAGTTAGAGTATTGTGTGCAGTTGTGGTCTCCTTATTTAAGAAAGGATGTACTCGCCTTGGAGGGTGTACAACGTAGATTCACTAGGCTGGTACCAGGGATGAGTTATGAGGATAGGGTGAGCAATTTAGGCTTATATTCTCAAGAACATAGAAGAATGAGGTGATCTTACAGAAACCTATAAGATTATTAAGGTGCACGACAGAATAGATAGTGGGAGACTTTTTCCCCTGGTTGGAGAAACTATAACTGGGGCCACAGTCTTAAAATTAGGGGTAAGCCCTTTCGCACTGAGTTGAGGAAAAACTTCTTCACTCAGAGGGTAGTGAATTTATGGAATTCTCTACCCCAAAGGGCTGTAGATGCTCAGTCCTTGAACATATTCAAGATTCAGATTGATAGATTTCTTGTGGATAAAGGGATTAAGGGATATGGGGATAAGGCAGGTAGGTGGAGTTAGAATAGATCAGCCATGATCTTATTGAATGGCAGGGCAGGCAAGAGGGGCTGAATGGCCTTCTACTGC